ATATAGTTTTTGGGTTGGCTCTCTATGCAAATCTGTATATAACTTGTGGTGGATAAGTAAAAGGTATATGGGGATAAAAGAAGAGATGGTGCTTTGCACGAAAATGGAAGCTGTTAATGGAAGTTGTTATGTGGTTCCATTCGAAGAACTTTATTGTTTTCTTTTTCTATCAAAATGTATGCATTCGGAATTTGGGGGCACAATGCCAATAATAAAACTTCCAGTTCATAGCAATTTTATATCCACATATGATTAATGGAATCTTTCTGTATTGGGACCATTTAGTCATCTTTTCAATTATTTATGACCTGTTGACATTAAAATATGCAGAACATGAAGAAGATCCCTTGTTTCCTGTATGGCTGCACTTCTGCTGCAGAAAATCATAAGGCAGGTTTTGAAAACTAAAGATACCCTTCTCTTCTGATCAATCATACAGAAAAATAATAGAAAGGCAGGTTTGACTTCTGAGGGTGTGATATGAATATGATGATAGTGGAAGTTTGATGCCAACGTGTTTTGATAAAGAACTTTAAATAAGATTATCTGCAGATTCAAAAATCTTAATAAAATTCAGTAAAACCATGCAACAACTTCCAAGTCTCAACAACATGTAGAGTACTTAATTCATTGCAGTTATCTTTTTCATTTGTATTAATTAAATTTTAGGTTTTCTCTTTGATTTGGAATTTGGAGAAACACAGACAAACTTATAGAAAAATTTAGCTAAGAAAACACTTGGCCTGTCGGTCAGGGCCCATGACTTTATAATTAGAACTCAGAAGAACTAGTGAGCACATGGCAATAACCATGATCATAAGTGCACCAGAGAAGTGATAGTGAAAGCCAAAAAGAAGAAAAAGAAAAAGAAAAGTGGTCACCCTATGATTTGTCAAAGTTGGGCATATCTTGAAGGGAAAAAAAAGGGACAGAGTATCAAGCATCCAAAAAGATTAATGTAACTTACTATAAGGTAAATGCGCAGAAATTTTTTGGTCACAATGTCCGTTCTTTCTTTCTTTCTTTTTAAATAAAAATTGATTTTGTATTGATATTGTCATTAAGATATAACCTAATATGTCGGTGTACTTTGTTATTGACATATTATCAATAATAATATCGAACACTTTATTTATATCACATCGAACAATCCGTCTTTCGAAAGAAGGACTGACCAAAAGAAAAATTGGGTAAATGTGTTTGGTCAGTCCTTTAGACAACAAGTACACACGCCATACTATGACTTAAAGCATGTAAGGGAACTGAAAGAAATTGAAGGGCTCTAGCATGTCGGTTGCAGCTTTTATAGATTAGCTTTGGACCAAAGAAACAAAAAAATGGGACCATTCAAAGTCCTTTTCTATATCATTGTCTTCCTCTTAATGCAATTTGATTTTGTAGTATGACATTTGCCCTGTGCATGATGCCACAGACTTATTAGGTATTAGCTTCCTTAATACTTTATGAATTATACAACTAGAGGGTAGTGGCTGATCCAGAATTCTAAGACCAAAGCGTCATAATATAAAAATTCCAAAATCCTTTTTATAGAATAAAATAACGCTGAAAAATCAAAAGAAAATACTGCCATTTATAATCAATTAATAAAAGTTGTCTGCCGAGAGCTACAATCTACCATAAGCTTTCCGTAAGGAATTTTCCTCACTCTACCAGCTAAAGGGTACTGATGTTCCACTTAGAGCTTCCATAATCATCTTAACACGTCATTTTGTTTCAAGGAAGGCTTGTTACTGTAAGACAAGTCTGAAACCTAAGGCCTTCTGGGTTATCTATTTCTGATAGAACCTTATGTTAATGAGGAGTTGGGTTTGTCGGTGTTACAAGTTCTGGCTCTAATCGTTTCACCTGAAACACTAGGGAGCATGGTCATTTCATGCAAATGGATTATTATTGATTACTAAGAAAATTAAAACCAACTCCTCAATAAAAGTCCGAAAAGAGTAAAATCCGATCAAGAAAAAAGAATACTCGATCTTACTATCCAGTCAAGGGCAAGGTGAGATTTTATCATCTTGTTTTGGCTTCTTTTTTTTTTTTTGGTTCTTTTGAAAAGAACATCATATGTCACACAAATTAAAGCCAACAAAACTAGCTTCAAAATTTGATCCAAAGAGAAAACTAGCTTCAAACTTTGAAGCCCAAAATAATGGGCCTACACTTCGGCCTACAATGATTTTATAAGCCCGACTCATCTCTTTTTATCTGATATAAGCCCAAATACTTGATGCTCGATGTTTTCCATATTGTTTCCTTCCTTTTCACAGTTGCATTAGTTTTATCCAACAACATTGTATTTCTTAATCGAATGATAGTTTTTTTTTTTCGGCGGCATGAAATTAGCATGGTAAACTACCCCCGACTGCTACAAATTTGCTGCCAAAATATTAGTCTGCGGGGCTGACTTTTGGAGGTTTTTATAGCAATGTTAATCGCCGAAATGCATGCCTCATCCTCGTGTGTTTGATTCTGACCTCAAACGAGTAAATGCATGCATGAAATGCATGAGTTTCTAAATTAAATCAGATCCAAATATCAATTATATAATATGCACGAATCATCATCATAAGCAATGACTTCATTTTGTTGAAAGTTTTTGGCTTACTTGCCCCATTCCATCCATCCATCCATGCGCCTTGACCATTAAGAAGAAGGAAAAAAAAAAAAAAAATAGTCTGACTACCTTGGAAGATAAGTTGATATTAAAATATTAATTTTAAGGACAAGCAATGATTTATAATGTGATTTTTAAAGGCGCCTAGCACATGATGTAAAGCATATGCATGCCTTTCATAAACCACACCTTTGATAAATGCATGCCTACACGCATTTCCCACGCACACATGTTTTAGAATTAAATATATAATGTGTTCTTATTGCATGCGGCAGGCCGCCCTGAGGGTGTGCAAGTGGTGCCATCGTACAGGACTTTTGATTTATGATTATCATTGTATGCTAATTAATGATGTATTTTAGTTGTTAAAAATGTCTTTTTAAGGTATTAAGTCATGACAAATTTTATATTTTCTTTACCTTAGTTTGTTGTATATTAATTTACCTACCTAGAGGCATAGGTTGCTAAGAAAATATGTAGGTAAATTCATGTAACTAATACACAAGGGGTCAAGACCTATAGAGAGCAACATGTTATTTTCCTTTGAACAAATTAATTTCAAACCATAACAATTATCATATTTGGAAATTGGTATAAATAAAAAGAAATAAATAAGCTATCAATTTGAAAATTAAAATACTAAATGATAAAGTAGTCAAATTTGAAAAAAAAAAAAACGATGGGTTGTAGGTAAGAAAATATTAATGTGAAGGGGCTATATATGGTATTATGAGTTTGCATCTACATAATTTATTTCAGATTCTGTATATGTTGTAAACAAAAAGTTGAGATCATTATAGTCCCCAAAAATAATTAAGAACTTGTATGTATCTTTGAATTTTAATTGAAATGGCTTAAATCTCAAAAGGTTAGCATAATTGCATATAATAAAGTATGTTGCTAAATTCGACGGGTTGGTGATTAAAGAAAATAAAACTGGTTCAAATTTCCATGGCATCATAGTAGTGTGTGTGAGAAATCCCCTCCCCTTAGTTTAGACTATCGCTTATACTGCAAAAAAAAAAAAAAACGCCCTTAAAAATATCACTACACAGCCGCAACCTGTAAAAAAGAAGAAACCAAAGATCAAAGACCATCACATAATATAGCCAAAGCCATGGCATTCGAAGACCCAACATATATGATCGGGGAAAATTGGTACTTCATATGGTGGGTTTACATCTCAATGGCAATGGCATATCTGGGGAAAGAATTGATCACATCAGATCTAGGAATTGGCAAGGTTAATTTGTTTTTGTTTTTAAATGGTTTGAGTTTTTTATTTATTTTTATTTTTAGGTTAAATAATTAAGTTAAAACATGAGTAATCAAGAAAAGATGATGTAGCAGATGGCATGCTATATGCCACATAAGTTGGTATCGTGAAGTTGATAAACAAGTTAGGGCCCGTAGCGCTATTGGCAATGGAAATTCCTCTTGATTACAAGAAGTAAAACAAGTTAGCAATGTCTCATGTTGGGTTTCGGATGGTTTCACCCCATCCTTTGGGTACTCTTATGGTACTTCTTTTTTAATAAAACATCTTTACCCAAAAAATAATAATTTAGCAATATGTCTTATATATTCTAAATATTGTAATGATTATGTTCAACTAATTAGACTTTATATGAGGTGCAAACTAATTCCGGCGGCATACCCAGCGGAGCCGAGTATAAAGCTCCCATAGGCTCTAGCCCACCCCATCTTTTGAGAAAAGAAATTTTTTGGTGTTAACATCAAGCATGTTATTTATTTATTTTTTTTTATGAAATAAGGGGACAAACACAAAAAAGAAACAACAACTAACTAGAACAGATCAAGCGAGGCCTAACAACTCCTAAAAAATCATCCTCCAAAAAAGAGCTAACCCAAGCAGGGGCCTCATCCAAATAGCTAACCCTCAAATCTAAGTTAAAGCTCCAGTTAGCCATACGATCAACTACAACATTCATTTCTCTGTAAACATCAAGCATGTTATTAATTCTTTTTTAGTAATATTAATTTTCTTTAAAAAAATAGAACAAGTCTAATATTGCTCAAAGTAAAAATTTAGCCAATCCCTACACCTAATTTTACTATTATGTCACAAGAAAAAGAAAATTTAGCCCACCTCAATATAAATACCTGATTCCGCTCACCCCGATATAAATATCAGGTTCCGCCCACCTGGTTATAAATATTTGGTCCCTCCCACCCGATACAACACACGTTTTTATGATTTTTCTTCTCTCAAGCCAGCTAATTTCCCAACGTTTGCTTTGTTCTAATGAGCATATTAACAAGAATGATAAAGTAGTGAGTTG